CGCAATGCGGGAAATTGAAGTGTCCATAAAAAATTGATCTAATATACTTGTAAAGTAAAGTTGGAGAATTGGGTGAATTGTTTGTTGATGAGCAGATAGTTAATATTTTAACCATTTATTTGATTATTCTTTATGTTTATTAAATTTATTTTGTTTATTTTTATTATTTCTAAAAAGTTTTAAAATAAAATAAATGATTTGAATTCATCAGAATCGCACGTTTTTATAATTAATATGAATTTTAGACGGTGTCAACCTCTTGAGAAGAGAAATAAATCCACCCATATTTCAATAGTCTTCATTCACTATTTCCCTTTCCATTTTTGTCAAAAATGATTTAATAACCTTAGTAAAAAACTTTAACGTAAAACAAAAACCCTTGACGTACAAAAATCATGACCAAGTAAAAAAATTTGATGAAGTTGAATTAAAATTTTGTAAAAAATATAATTGTTTGTATTTTTAGACGTTATTGATTTCTACATTGACTCCACTTTCTAAATAACCAATATCGTTATTAATATTATCTGCATCTATTATATCATTATTAACATTGTTTTTAAAGCACATGCAAAATGAAGGGACCAAGTAGAGACTTGGGTATTAAAATTTTTCCACTATCGCTTGGATGACAATGGAAGTGGAACCTTGCCTTAGTCGGAAAAGTGGCACAGATTAAAATCCGACAATGGTTTATTTTCTAACTTTCTCAACCGGATATGTTTTTTTTTTTCAAAATTGGTTCTTTAAAAGTTTCATTTCTGTATGGTCTTATTATTATCATTACTTGAGCGATGCAATCATTAGTATTACATAATTGTTGTAATAGACGTAATAGACGTTAATCCAGTACTATACGTACGCCGATCTATTGGAGGTTGTAAAACGTAGTAATATTATCAATAAAATCATTTTTTTTTTTCCGCAAATTTGCGCAGCATGATGAAAATATCCAATTTTATTGGTGGGTTGGGTGCGTGTTATCCTTATTTAGATGACTTTTGCGGAAAAATAATCAAAATTCCAAAAAATTGTTGTATATACGAAAAAATTCTCCGCTCCAGAATGAAAAAGTTATTTTTCATTCATTAAAACACCAAGTCGAATTTTATATTTATATAATGTCACATAATAAACTGTTATCATCGTTATCACTAGAAAGAAAGGAATCTGTATTTAAAATTAATAATGAAATGTATAATAACGCCCTGGTTAATTCTGATGAAGAAAGTAGAAAAGATTGTTTTTTTTCATTAGTCAAGAAAAACAAGAAACTTTCTGGAAATGAAAAAGAATATTGTAAGAAAGAGTTTATTTATCAGGTTGAATTACAGAATGTAAGAGATAAATTGGGAAAACCAAAAGAATGTAACAAGTGTAAATTGACGAGATACTCTGATAGGTTCTGTGAAGGCTGTATTAGTTTACGATTACATAATCTTTTCATTAACTGGACATCTGGAAATAACACAGTTGACAACTTTATTCAGCAATGTCAGATGAAATCTTCTCTGCCAAACTATATTTTAGAATGGATACCTTTTGAGCAATTTAATGATATAACAAAGTTGACAGAAGGTGGATTTAGCTCAATTTTTACTGCTACGTGGACAAGAGGAAGAATAGTCGATTATGACGAAAATAAAAAGGAATTTAGTTATTTTGGAAAACTAAGAGTAGTATTAAAAAGTTTAAATGATTCAAGCAATCCAGGAAAATGCTTTTTTGATGAGGTTGGTAGTTATCATTTAAAACAAAGTAAATAATATTGTATTATATAATACTAATTGATTTTAATTACAGGCAATAAATTATTGTAAAATTAAAGCACCACTGATTGTTTCTTGCTTTGGTATAACCAAATTCCCAGATAATGGAAATTATGCAATGGTTTTAAATTATTATCCAGAGGGAAATTTAAGAGGTTATTTACAAAAAAGTCATTTAACTTTAAGAGACAGAATTGGAATATTTTATTATTTATGTTATGCATTATATTTTATACATGAAAAGGATTTAATCCATTGTGATTTACATAGTGGTAATATACTTGTAAGTGGAGGTAATTGTTATATTATGGACTTGAGATTATGTGGACCCATTGATGAAAAGTCATCAAATAAAGTCTATGGAACTGTATCATATGTTGCACCTGAGCTACTTAGAGAAAAAAATAACACAAAAGAAACAGATATCTATAGTGTTGGGATGTTAATGTGGGAAATATTTGCAGGTCACCCACCATTTTATGATAGAGTTCACAATCATCATTTGATTTTTGATATATGTGAAGGTTTACGACCACCAATATTGCCTGGAATGCCTAATGATTATGTGCAAATGATGCAGAGGTGTTGGGATGTGGATCCATCAAAAAGACCAACTATTAGTGAGCTTTTTATTTTTGCTAGAAACAAACGTAATGAATTTTTTAAAAATAAAAATGGTAATAATAATAATAGTAAGAATAATAGTTTAATAAAAAGATTATTCAAATTTTCTAAAATTAAAAAACATGATTTTAATAATGATGGTAGCAGCAGCAGTGATGGTATTAGTAGTAGTAGTGCTTCACAACAAGCACACAAATCACATCCAGATGCATATCATAAAAGTAGAATCTTAGATGAAGAGATTGCTAAATCTAAAAGCTTGAAAATTTATACAAGTAATGATAATCCATTAAATACTCTTTGATTTTAACTCTTTCTCTTAAATGCTGAAGGTGAATAAAATATCATTATTAATTAATTAGAACTTACTATTCATTTAATTATTACTAACAATGTTTTTTATTTACACATTTAGATTCTAATAATTAAAAGAGGGAATCGGTGAATGACTAATTTAATCTCTTAAATTATTCGTTATAATTATTCGTCTTTTTTATTATCTATATTTTTATTTTTTTTATTTTGAAATAATAAATTTTTCACAGTTTTTTGATTCTTGTTAAGTAGTGATATTTTGAGGTACCAGTTAATATTGATTATTTTACGAGTTTGCATAACTTTTGGCTATTTTTGTCAGTTAATTGCAAGCAACTCACAATAATTCAATTAATTAGTTTACAAATTTATTTTGGTTCTCGATTACTGCACCTAGACAAATCTGTAAGCACACTTTTGGTGACAAATAAATAAAGATGACCTTTTACGAAGCTCAAGGGTTTCGATTTATTTCAATCGCTTGCCCTTGTTTACATTCATTGGCCAATTGCAAACTCGCTTTGGTTTACTTGTAAAACAGCTTAAGTAGCTTGTTTAACAGTCTTACGTTTACAATTACAATGACACTACCAGTATTTCCAAATCAACCTTTGGACGATACTTTATTAACACCCACCAGTTGACCAACGTTAATCCTAACCTTTCTTACTCATAAAGCAAATTACGTTACTAATCATCACTAGTTGACTAACGTCAGTCCTAACATTGCCTATTTGCTCACTGAAGCAAATAAATGTGACTTTTTACTAAAGCGCTAACTACACTTGTTTTATCAAAGTGCTTTAAACAAAGTAACGTTGTTATTTTAAAAGCTTGTTAACGTTTAATAAAAATAACAGAGTTTATTATTTATTAATTATTGATTAATTTACTCTGCGATCAGAATTTATTCTTAATGAAATTTTCATCACTACAATTGGCTTATCATTGCAGTTAACTTAACCCAATCAATATTGATATTACTAATTAGTTGACCCTGGAACATAAAGTATCAAATCTCTAATCGATTATCGCGTTATTAATATTAATATAAGAAATGTTCGAGTTTAGCGGTAAATGAGTGTGTTTGTATTCAGAAAAAGAAAAACTTGGCTCTTTGAGAACAACTGAAAGGAAAGATTGAAATACACAAGAAAAATATAAAAAAAAAATTTGGAATATATATTTATAAGTTTTTTTTTGTAAGCCTTTAAAGAAATTTTACTTGTGTTATTTTTGACTTAATGGCAGAGAATTTAACGTGACAGTAGTAGTAATTGATAATTAAACGGTCAGAGTATTCATTAATGGTAACACAAATTAAAGTTTTGATCATTCTTATTGGTCAATTTAACGATCAGCAAAGTAAAATCAGTCAATCGACCAACTTTTAAAGAGGATTTTACAAAAACCACAAGGACAACAACTGGATTTTTATTTATAGATTAATCAGCTGAATCTCAAAGATAATTTTTGTATTAGAAAGTGATGCCTTCAGAAAAAATTTTTTATATCAGAAAAATTTTATCGGCTATCAATAGCCAATTAACCGTTTAAGGGATAAAGATTACTCAAATCCCGTAAATTAAATTTGTTGTTTGCCTATATTTGTAAATAAACAGTGGTACGGGAAATATAGAATGGTCTCTTGCACATCCTCGATTACAAAACTTGTTTCTTTTGATATTAACTTTTTTGTGTGTAACACGTCCAATTTTACGGCTAAACATAGTAAATTCGGTAAACTTGTGCTCAAATCCTCCACAACATGACATACCAACAAGAAGGAAGGTCTTGTCTTCCTATTTTTGGAAAATTTTGAAAATCTACATGACCAATAAAAAGTTGTGGGACTGTGACTTGCACTATATTTACAGTATTTTGATTGGCCCCCAATGAATCGTATCATATAGAATTTTAACAAACAATAGGGCAATCGCAAAGGGTGGTTCTATTAAATCTAACATGCATGAATATTTATATTTAATATTTTTTAAAAATAAATCGTTGGATTTTTAATATTTTATTGTAACTATGAATGAATGAATGAATGAATGAATGAAGATTATACATTGATGATGATGCAATAATAAATTATCTTTATCAAAATTATTAATGTTAAAGAATTTTTTATAATTGAATCTTGTGTTGGTAAATGTTTTAGGTATGTTTTATAATGTTGTTGTTAATAATGTCATTGTAGGTATTAATGTTGTTGTTACTGTTGTTAATATTACAATTATTATTATTATTATTATTATATATTATATCTATCATTAATAATGATATCTTCTACTTCGAAAAAATATTCATTGAAATTATTACTAAATTTTCTTTCGTGATTACCAGTAGAATTATTATTACTTGAAAGAATGTTGTTGTTTATGATGTTGTTATTATTATTTGAAAAATAACAATTTGGTGGTAATGTTGTTGTTGCTGCTGCTGTTGCTGTTATTGGGATCGGTAATGGTAATGTCGAAGAAGGAGAAACATTACTAATATTACTTTTAATACTATTATTGCTTTTATTATTACTTTTATCATTATTATCGTTTGATGACGGTGATAATTGATCATGATTGTTGTTTTTGTTCTTGTCATTGTTATTGTTACTATTATATCTGAATATTTCCTCGGTGTCATAGTCATCATTGCCATCATTAATAGTAATTATTTCATCCCATTCAAGATTATGACGATGTTTTTTATTATAAGATGGAGATGATGATGTAGATGTAGATGGAGATGATAAATTAAGGAAACTATTTGTTATTGTTTTTAAAGATTTTTTGGTGAACTTATTATCATTATTGTTATCAGATTTTGATGATTCAATTTGTGAAAAAAGATTATTATTTTCATCATCTTCTTCAAGATTATTATTGATATTATTATTAAGATTAATATTAAAATTAAAATTTTTATTGAATTCATCACTTTTCCTTTTATTCGTTGAAAATTCATTATTAAGTGATATAGAAAATCTTGGTTTTTTAAGTGAAACATTTAAAATTTCATCAAATAATGGAATGCTTTGTGATGGTCGTACGGCACTATGTATAATTATTGTAAAAGATGGGATTTAATTTTAAAATTTTGAAAAAAAAAAAAAATAATAATAATAAAAAACTTACTTGTAAATAATTACGAATTGTACAACTTGTAGACAGACGGGTATTAGAAAATTCCACACGGCAAAATAAAACAATCCTATTTGGTAGTTATCCCTAGCTGTTGTCGATTTATAAGTTAAACCAAATATGATGAAAATTACTGTGAAAAAAGTATACAAGAATGCAAGAAGCAACGAAACCGAACTCAACTGAATGATAAAAATTATTATTATTAATTATTATTTAGTAATTTTATTTCATTTGCAATAATCAAATTTAACTTACATTTGTAGAAGCAACTTCTAATGTCTCTAATTTCCATCGATTTGTGTGATGATTTGATTTTTCTTTCAAACCTTTCATATGATGATTTAGCAAATCGAATAAAATATACCAATAATATAACATTGAAATAACGAATATTATCAACCAAAATGACCAAATCAAATAATGCACAAAGAAAAATTTATTAGCAATATTTAAATTTGCTTCTTCATCGCCATCAACATTAATTTCTTTTTCTGCATAATATCCACTTAAATATGAAATTGGTGTAATTGTTATTAATGGACCAAACATTAATATTGATGCAACGATGTCAATGATATATTTATTAGGTAAAAAAACTCTTGATTCTTTATCTGTTGTCGTTTCTAAATTTGGAATTGAATAAACTTTTTATATTTTATTCCGGATAAAGAAAATTTAGATTTTTAAATTTCGTGCAGATAAAAAAAAAAAAAATTTAAAAAACACTTACTTATACCGACTAAATATAATACAGCAAATAAAAATCCTATTTGTCTGGGTAGATCATCAAAAACTACGGAAATATGAAAAAAAAAAAATTTAAATATTTTCCTCAATAATAAAACAATAACAATAATAACAACCAATAACAACCTTCTGCCCAACCTAAATTGGGATATGCATCTTGCAATAATAATATTATTCTGATTAAGTGCACTATATTAGACAAAAAATAAATTAAAAAATTTAAAATGGTAAAGTCTAAAATTTTCCAAAAAAAAAACCAAAAATTCTTACATGAACTAAAAGTAACTGTTATAAGATGAAACGCATTGTGTGGCCTTAATCTTATTAAGCCTTTATCTTTTGAAGCAGGAAAGAAAAAAGTTTGTTTTTTAGAAATTAAAAATCCCAGGGATATTATCGTTATTAATGCCAAGTATGGTATTAACGTATAACTTCCTGTCCTCAATATAAAAGTTTCTTTACAATTACTTAAATTTATTCGAAAATCACATAAACACGATTTTAATATTATTATTGTATTATTAATATTTTGTTTTTCAAAATCTAGACATGTTAACGTATAATTATTAGTCAACTGAACCATTGATTATTAGAATTAGAATTATTTATTATGTTAAATGAATGAATTATAGATAAAAAATGAAAGTGATAAAAATAAAACGTTAGATTATTATTAAATATTGGATGATATGATATGATATGATATGATATGATATGATATGATATGAGGGCGGATGGTGGTGGTAGATGATGTAATTACGACAAAAACAAAAATTAATGAAAGAAGAAGTTTTTGAAAAAATAAATTATTATTATTTATATATATTATATATATACGGTATAAAATAAAAAATAAATAAAAAATAAAAATCTATTGTTAAGTCTCGAATGACCCTTTTTTCATCTCTTTTATATTAACTATATTTAATATAAATATCTGCATGTTTGTTTTTTATGTTCGCTTTATTAATAATTTAATTAAATATTAATATCAACCACACACAAATTAAAGCAATCCGAATTTGGAAATTAAAAATGAACTATGGAGAATATGAATTGGATTTGCCCAATTAAAATACAAGAAAATTTTTTAATCACACTTTTAGTAAATTCTTTATTTAACTTTATTTGTTTGTTCTTGTTCCATTCAGTCACCCTGCATGAATACAATTTTATGACATCTCAACTTTTTGAGAAAATAAACAAAATTGTATAGTAATAGGGGTTAATATTAACTTTAACATTAACATTAATATTAATATATAATATAAGAAATTTTGCATTAATATAATATTAAGGATACAGCCCGTTAACAAATATCAATATTATATATTAAGATTAATGCACTGCATTGCTCTTATTTATGGTTAGTTTGTCTTCAAATGAACAACCACTACCATTAAAACCAAACAGACAAAAACGTAGTTGGACATGTACTTATTTCAAGAATGATAACAACTATCAAGAAGAACCAGCAAACATTTGTTCGGTGTTAAACGAAGCCGGTAAAGAATGTGGTCCTGTTTTTGCTGATGATAGCTTTGAAATCCATCTTTCGATTAAAATAAATAAATAATTAATATTATCGGAAAAAACTTCTTAACGGTCCAATAATGGTAATAGTAAAAGTAATATAAAATTGTGAAACGTATAACATTGTTGTGAATTTCTAAATTTCATTGTAAATAGTATGATATGTTTTAGTATATTATTTTACTATATTTGTTCAATTTATATCCAAAGAACTTCCTGGTAATGAGAGTGATACTTTTATTCGTGGAGATTTTTTTTTAAAAAAGTTTATAATACAAATTCATTATTAAACTAAAACTTTTTTTATGTGCCTCGTGCATCTGTTGTGACAAGATTTGACTTGTAGTACTTATTAATGATATTATTATTGCTGCTAATATTGTTGTTTCCTGTAAATTTACTATTAATGGTTTTATTTTTAATTTATCTTGTAATTTACTATTATTGGTGATTTTTTTTTTTAATTCATTCTAATTAATGTCAAGTTTTTTTGTGAACGAACATCTTTACTATTGGGCTGTTTAGCTTCAAAATTTATTTGAGTAAGCTTAAACCGTTAAATTCAGATGAATGAGTGTATTCGAATATTTAAAGGATTCATTTATCTGTAAACCCTCATTCATAACTGGATTATTATAAATTTTTATAAATCTGACTCTTTCTTAATTCATTTTTTATAAATGTCCTTTGGAAAATTTTCTCATAGGAAAAAGTGAAAAATTACAAGAATTAATTGATGAAATTCAATATTTCCTTTCCATTCTTGATTGTCTTTGCTGTTGTTGCCTTAGCAAGATCATTTGACCATAGTTTGAAGAAACATAAGTATTTAATTATGGTACGCCATAATGGACTTATTAACCGGGTCTGTCCCCGACTTTATTTTTGATAATTATTTAGTTGAATATAAGCAATATATATCTTGGATATGAACCCAATTAATAACTGGACTTTTGTCCATTATGATACCCTGTATTTCATTTAACACAATAAATGTCATTATGATCTATATCATTGTTTGTTTCTGAAAAACTATTAATTGTTGATTTCATTTTATTTTAAATAATAAATAGGGGCGTAATTATTTTCATCATTATTATCATTACAGTCAATATCATTATTATTAAGTCAATATCCTAATTGTTGGTTTTCACTTTATTTTAAATAATCAGTGATGACGAGTAAGTATTTTCATCGTTATTATTACCGGGGTTGTGTGATTTCGATGTGCGAGAAGAATCTTCGTACGTACGTACGATGTACGATTGTGCTTTGTACAATTGAGTGCGTACAGCTTCGTTGTGGTCGTATACCCTGTACGAGGAAATTTTGGTACATCGCACATATGTACGCACATACGAACGTATGATGTACCAGGCAGGAACTATGATTTTCTGCAGTAATTTATAATAATAACAATAATATTAAGCCGTTAACCAACCCTATTACTGTTACTATCACTATAATTAAACGGATTACCAGGTTGTAGCGGGTCGTAATACTACTTTGTTATCAGAAAAAAGTTCTGATTATCATGTTATACATGATTTCTAATTTATTTTTTTTTTTATTATTGTTGTACGTGAAAATGAAATTATGTAAATTCGCAATTCACATATGTGGAATTCAAATTTACATATATGTGAAATTCAAATTAGCCAATCAGAATTTCACTCCATTCCATAATATTTCAATTTCACATACAACAATTATTATTAATAATGAAATTAAAAAACTTTCTTCTACATTCCTTTTTAATTATACAGTCAAACCTCGTCACAGCGGATTCATGGTAATAGTAGTGGTGCCAGCCAAAAAATCCGTTGTGATGTTGTGAAAATGAAATCTATGTGAATTTGCAATCCACATATGTGAAATTCAAATTAGCCAATCAGACAGAATTTCATATCAATGATTTAAATTCTTTAATACTTTATAATCTAATTGACTTTATTATCAATTGGTTTATTTTGAAAACTTGGAAAATTTTGTTACTTGTACACATTCTGATTTCTAATTTATTTTTTTTTTTATTATTGTTGTACGTGAAAATGAAATTATGTAAATTCGCAATTCACATATGTGGAATTCAAATTTACATATATGTGAAATTCAAATTAGCCAATCAGAATTTCACTCCATTCCATAATATTTCAATTTCACATACAACAATTATTATTAATAATGAAATTAAAAAACTTTCTTCTACATTCCTTTTTAATTATACAGTCAAACCTCGTCACAGCGGATTCATGGTAATAGTAGTGGTGCCAGCCAAAAAATCCGTTGTGATGTTGTGAAAATGAAATCTATGTGAATTTGCAATCCACATATGTGAAATTCAAATTAGCCAATCAGACAGAATTTCATATCAATGATTTAAATTCTTTAATACTTTATAATCTAATTGACTTTATTATCAATTGGTTTATTTTGAAAACTTGGAAAATTTTGTTACTTGTACACATTCGGATAAATAATCTATCAATTGTTGGTTTATTAATATATTTTTAGTGTTTTGTTACTCGCAAAAATTTGGACAAATAATCTATCAATTGTTTGTTTATTGATTTATTGATTTATTTTAGAAACTTGGAAAAGTTTGTTACTCGCAAACATTTGGACAAATAACCTATCAATTGTTTGTTTATTAATTTATTTAAAACTTGGAAAAAGTTGTTACTCGGAAACGTTTGTACAAATAATCTATCAATCTGCTGTGGCGAGGTCCGCTGTGATGAGGTTTGACTGTATGCATTTTGCAATATTTTGAAATTGTATTAATTGTACGACAATTTATAGGAAATTTTTAGTTTGTGATACATTCATTTCATTTTACAATGAGATGTGTTCAGTATATATACGTGGGTTCTTTTTTTATTTGAAATCGTAATAATTGAAATCTAGTTGATAAATATTACTTTATAAAGTAAAAAAACGCGTGATTTTTGCAACACTGATTATACCTGTCTCTTTAGACTTTCGGTTATTAATATAAACTCTTATTTTCTCCTCATTATAAATGCATTCTACTATTCACATTAAAAATAATAAAAACCAATCGACAATCAAAAAAATGCGTGACAAAAAACGAAAAAACCCATTGGTTGTTTATTTTCGACTGTGTTTTGTAGTTACATCATTTTCATTGCTAGTTTTTTTCGTAATGTTGTCGTTTCTAAAGCTAGCTAAAGAACAGCCCGCTATGATTAGCACCCTTTCAACAATTGCGAGCTTACCTGTTCCAGGTAAAGTAATTTTTTTGAGTT